CCTTAGCAAAGCGCATCCCAGGCTGCATAGCCGCACTACCCTACCCAACCATACCACACATAAACATGACACTACCCCCGGGGTTTACACAGACGAGCCGGCGAAGCAAGAAGAGCGCCAGAAGAAAGGGCCCTAGCCGGCGGGGCCCAGCCAGGACAAAAGGAGGTCCCACAAAGCGCCTACACCGGCCGCATTTGCGGTCGGGGTAGACGACGGATGGGGCCCACCTACGAAGGCTGTCCAGGCCTACACGAGATGAGGCAGGATAAAGAGGGATAATCCCCCTCGATCCCAAATCATTGAGGCCAATTTCTAGCCATAGAATAATGGCGATTGTCCATGGTATCACTATTAACTGAACAAAACAGCAGAGCTGGCAATTGGCAACATCTTTATCCGCTGATTGGTTGCGGCAGCTGTTGAAATATGACGTCATACTTCTGAAATTTTGAAAAGATTGAAAATACATACTGTAAATATTGTTAATTTAGGAAAATTAATATTTGTTGTATTGGATGGTCCCTACTTTCTAAAAACATGCCGATTTTAAATTAAAAAAACACAATTAAGAAACGAAATAAGAGATCTTTAATATTTTTAAAAAAATGTGATTATATAACAAAAAATCACTAGATTCATCTGTGTTGGTGCCTTTATTTAATTTATGCGCACTTAGCTATAAAAATTCATCAAACAAATATCGTCTCTTTTTTAGACCTACAAAATGCAGACTATGCGTTTATTAAAAAAGAAATAAGTCGCTATTATGTCACATCATAGGCGTACCGGGCAAAATCTTTTAGGTATATTTTATTAAATTCACCAAAAATATTAGAATAGGTAAATTTTTAATTATATGTATTACTTTCTGTATATTATTTAAAATTTACTACGATTTCTGGTAGGGTTTAAAAAACACTTAAAAGCAAACTAATACAATATACATATAGCGCTCTGAAAGCAAATAAAGGGAGGGAAAATGAAAGATGATGTAAGTACAAATGTAAATAATTAAATAAATTTATTAAATATTACACTCAGTATACATAAATTAAATGCCCCCACTTGTGCTTCAATATACTGGCTGTAACGTAAAGGTTGGTAATAAATTAAACGGTGGATTATTTGGTTTAAAAAATAATTTTTTCTCATATGAAGTTAAGCTCTACGGGTTTTCTTTTCCAAGCTACAGGGCGCTAAAAAGTTTCAAAAAATTTAGTTTTTCTCCAATAAATTTCGAACATTATAAGATAATGGAACGAAATTTTAGCCTTAGCTTAATTTGATAATCCCCTAGTTACAAGAAAAAAATCGATTTTGTAAGTTACTCAGTGGCGCGCGTACGGATTGTACCATAAGGTTTTTCAAAGAAAATTGTAGTACGCCACTGGTAAAAACATCTTTCTAATATTTGTTTATGATCTACTTTTTATTTTAAACAAAATTACCCTCTTGCGTTTTATTTCTAGCTCTTGTAATGTTTCCGTAAATAAAACTTTTGTAAATACCATTTTATCCCACTGCTAACAGAGGAATATAAAAATAACAAAAGCATTGTGAAGTACGCTTTGACTCAGCCACCGAACATGGTCAAATAGGCATTGAAAAAAGATTTTTGCATTGAAAATTATATTAAAAAACTAATTTTTTGAAATTTTTTAACACCCTGTAGCTTGGAAAAGAAAACCCGTAGAGCATAATTTTGTATGACAAATATTTATTTTTTAAAATAAAAAATCCACTGTTTAATTTATTCACAACCTTTATGTTACACCCTGTATAGTATGTAACAAGATATAAATCATGAACCTCTTTTTCCACTCTCCAGGAACTTGTTTTTCTAAATATGCTAAGGATTTCTTTAACTTTTTTCCACAAAATCTCTTTGAAGATAAGCGAGATATGAAATGAATACTTACCAAGAGATGCTTCAGTCAGTTAAAATTACAAATATCAGGCACTGCAAAGCCAAAATGATAATCCGTAATTCCATAATTATTCTAGATGTTTTACATTTTGTTTCGTAAAATTTGTTACACAAGGTTACATAACGAGCTTTAAATAGATCTTACTGATTTCTTATAAGCAATCGTATACAATCCTTTATCTACTGTCTCGTGATATAAGAAAATCACTTTCATTTACATATTAGGTTTTAAACAATACAACATGTTTAAATTATCGAGATTCAGCCTCAAGTTTCAAATAGTTGCACATTTACCATATCGTAAAATGTCAAACCCCATAGAACACATTAATCAATTTATTGAATTAATCACTGGGTGCAAAAATTTTAAAATGAAATAAAAAAATATATTAAACAATCGTTACAATTAACTATTTAACTAATACATCATAAATTAATGTAGTGGGTTTATAGCAGCATAATCTAATTGTAAAGTGGAATAAAATTTATATAGCCAAACCATAAACAGATACAATGCAAAACATGGTCTTATTTTCCCAACGGACTGTGCAACTTCCATCTGTGTTGTTATCCCAATAACAAGAGCTTGCGGTGTGTAAACCGGCTCCATTTTTCTGCATGATAGTGCACGTAACGATGTATTTATAGGGTTTCATCAGTTTCGTCAACTCTGCTGTACATGCTTCCACGACTGCCGTTGTCCAGTTATTAACCTTGTTCTGTTGATAACCATTGCCTCCTATGACAGTTTCTATGGCATCCTTTATAATTTTACTCACATCGTCCACAACAAACTGACCCTCTTCTTGCAGGTCCTGTTCCACGACTTCCTGTACAGATTTCTCCATAACAGTTCTAAAACTGATAACAGTGATAGTATACATGTACAAGGTATTTTGCTCAAAAAACTAAATAAACAAAAATACTTACTTATATCTATTTAAATTTATTATCTCAGATAAAGGGAATTCGTAATAAAACTTATTTAAATTTCTAGAAATAACTCCACCCCACAACCTAACAATACAAATATGAAATGTCAATGTCAAAAGTCAACATTGAACATATGTCAACCAACAGTAGGTATGATTCAGGCAGATAGGCGTGTTCATTTGTCAAATACAAGAAATAAAAATGTTTTTGTAAATTCCATCGACTTCATTAATTTTCTTCGTTTAGAAGTACCTTAACGAAGCATGGAAGTTAAGTTGTATTTCAAGTAAATAAGTAATAGCTTAATTAACACTTAATACACTGTTTTTTAAACTGTCTTTTACATTAGTACAAACCTGCTAATACTTATTTTAAAAGCCATGGACCACAAAGTAGTCATTTACAGATATAGTCCAAAAACGTTGACTGAAGTAGAATATTTCGATCAATGCCAAAAATCATCCACAGAAAATTATATCTGTATATACTTTTTAGCTATGATCTATGGAGATTTTAGTGATCTTGGATTATAGGTGGGCAAAACGGTTCAATTCCTTGATCCGAATCACTGAATCTGGATCACCTTCTGAAAAAATCACATCAATTCGTTAAGCAATCGTGTGTTGAATACGCCTGAAAATGAAAAGTAATCAAGGCATGTATAATTGACACGGATTTCTTAAATTAATTTAAGAAATCCGTGATAATTGAACACAATTTTTTTGTACCGTTTTTATGTTCGTTCAGTAAACGTGATTATTTGCATTAAACTGTAAAGTTCAGTGGTGAACTTTGCATGACATCATCTGTCGTCTGTTTGTTACGTCATTCTTGTCACCGAACTCTGATTTAAATCGCAAAATTTTCACGTTTAAATATAAAGAAGGAAAAATATACCCTGCAAATCTCAATAAATAAAAAAATGTATGACAGAAAAACACATCAAAAATGGTCATCGACATCAGGTAAACAAACCTCTTCAATTTAATCTAAAAAACGAAAACAACTCATATTTATTTATCTAGGGACAAGCAACTATCCATATATCTTCCGTCTGAATGATCTATGACTATGGGGACTATGGTCAATGGAACAAAAGTTTATGAAATCACAAATTTTGAAAAAACCAACATAACCTGAATTAAAATACAATTTTTAAAATGTTTGAAAAAGTGATATGTAGATCACTTACATATTTATTAAATATTCCTAAATGTAGTGCAAATGTTTTAAACAAGCCTTATATTAAATCCTACACGACACATCTCAGGCCTTCCAATTTGCAATACCATAAAAATGTAAGGTACGTTAAATAACAAAGATATTTTCTATTTACTTTTGAAACATAATTTTAGAACAATGTTTCCATTATGTATTTTATTTTTAGTAAGTATATTTCAGTTATTATCTCTGAAAAATTCATGTATATTGTACTAGATTATAAAATTTTAAAAAAATCAACTTGGTAAGGTAAAATATATTGCATGCAGTTTAAACATATTTATTTGTTTGCATATTAAAGTAAAATATTTGGAAACCTTGTTAGAAAATTTCCAGTGCCAATGTAAAATCACAAGGGTTGTAAATTTGTGACTTTTCCTTGACCTCTAAATAAAATCAATACAGTCTATTTGTCCCTTATAAAACAAGTAGCTGCTGCTGAAAAATAATAGTAACGATAATATCTGTCACTTGTTAGGTTCATTCAAATCAAACTTTATATTTTCAATCTAAAAATAGTTTCAAGAACATTTATATTTTAACATCGGATAGTTTAAATATAGAACATCGCCGTCTAATCATTTAAACCTACAAAAGTATTAAAAATAGTCGGAAATTTACTATTCATTAATTTTTAATATGAAATTAATAAGATTATCTAGTGGACATGATATGCCAATTGTTGGTCTTGGTACCTGGAGGGCGCAACCTGAAGAAGTTGAAAACGCTGTCTCAGTTGCTCTAGAGGAGGGATATCGACATATCGGTAACTACTCGTTGGTTTTATTACTGTGATTCATTGAAGTATCTACTTATTGTAAACAGAGCTAAAGTATTTGTTTTAAAAAATTAGTTTTACAACATTTCAAAATTTTTATGCATACAAATTACTTTATTAAAAACCAACCCTGTCTGTTCATATATAAAATATATGTCGGATATGTTTCGCTCAGAGACTGGTGATATATTTAAGTTTTTATTGCAGACACAGCTTTTAATTATAATAACGAGGAAAGTATTGGCAATGCCCTACAAAAATGGTTTAGCTCAGGAAAAGGAAAACGGGAAGATCTATTTATTACTACCAAGGTAACGCAATATTTTTAATTAAAAAAAAAATCTGTTTGTGTATGTTGTATGTTTAGAGGGATGTTTTGGTTCTTAGAGGGCCACACCTTATACAAAAATATATTTTTCTTGAAATAATACATGTACAAAAACATTGCAGTTACCCAATTTTGGGAATCGTCCAAAAGATGTGAAGAGATTCCTCAAAATGTCCCTTGAACGATTAAAGCTTGGTTACGTGGATTTATATTTAGTACACATGCCGTTTAGTTTTCACTTGAATGAGGCAAACCTGACGCCCTCGGTCAACGAAGATGGATCGTTTAGTCTGGATACTGAAAGCGATATCGTCGAAACTTGGAAGGTGATATAATTTTTCACTATTTGATAAAAAACGAAAATAAAAAATAAAACTGGACACTAATTTCAGTAAAATGTCTTGCGAATGGCGTATATGATTAATTTTTTTTTTCAGTTCATAGATTTGTTCTTCAATAATTGAAAAGATTCAGTTTTCCTACAAATATGTGCGAGAGAATACATTTTTTCTCTAAATCTAACATTGGCTTACAGAGTGTGCCAGCTGCAATAGTGAAGATCTATTTTAGGCATTCTGTAGCTCCATCTTTTTTAAAAAATTATTTTTGTGTTCGTTATAATTCATTATTCATAAGCCATATTTTATTTACTAGAGATTTCCGTTAATCTCACTTAATTGACCAATCAACAGTCAGAAAATTGCCGACATTAGCTGAAATCTCAAGTAAATGAAACATGGCTATTATCCCTGTTATTAGCTGAGATACACAGTTAAATTAATGCATCTGGGTAAACAAATGTGGGTGAGATATAACCCATAAAATGTGTGACATCTTAAATGTCATTGCTATTCAGTGCATACTCGCACGAAGCGTTACTTTGGACCTACCATCGGAAGATAGACATCCAAATAATTGGATCGTTATATATTTATATTTAGGGTGTTTTCGGATTGAATGGGACAACTTCATCGGGTTATAGAACATCATGATTTTAAGCAAAAACTTTCATATAAATGTGGGTCATAGAACGATTCGTTTTAGTTACAAAGGGCATAAAAAATAAAATAGTTTTTTCCAAAATAACTTAAAAGGGGTAAGAGCTAGAGAAAAAAAGTTCTTATAAAAGTTGTGGAGCATAAAATTTTACATAAAAATGGTCTATTGACTTTTTCTTCTGGTATTAAAATTAACAGCGTTAGGGAGGCTAGAAGTTAATAGACCAGGCGGAATCTGTTTTGATGTAGATGTTTTATATAATATCGCTAATTTTTGCTTTAATGGTTCTAAAATGATATAACAAAACATAATTTGACTATGCGTGCTTCAAAACGTGTGCTAAACTTATTATTAAACAAATAGTGAAAAAATTGGAAAAATTCAATTTTTTTTCAACACAGTTCAAAAACTATCTATTTTAGAGAAAAATTGAAAAGGAAAAAAATATTCGTAATTAAATTTTACACATGATATACCTATTTTCAAATAAAAAAAAATTTGCAAATATAGCAAAAACAAAAAAAAAGTGAAAAAATTACAATATTTTTGCGATATTTTTAAAAGTACTTAATATTATAGGTAGGATCTTCATACTTGGCCAAAAAAATCTTTTTTTGATGTAATAAAGCATCACACCAATTTTCGTTAAAATCGGTCCGATAATTTTCGAGTAATAATTTTGCAATTCAGATTTTTGAAAAAAATTGAAATTTTTACAAATTTAACTGGGCCTAAATTAAGACTTCTAGATACTTGAAAATTTTATCACATAAAAAAGGACACAAACTTTAAAATGCATCCAGAAAAATTGAAATCAATTAGGAGAGCCGTGGTAATTGTTTAAAAATATGCATAATTTTTGCGCTTATAAACAAATAGAACTTTATAAATTTATTAGAATTATAATTTTTTGTAATTATGCTTTGAAAGTACTCGGAAAAATGCTTATTTAAAAAAAAAACGTAGTGATTCGTTAATTGGTTCCAGAGTTATAGTATACAGGGTGTAACATAAAGGTTGGGAATAAATGAAACGGTGGATTTTTTATTTTAAAATATAAATATTTGTCATATAAAGTTACTCTACGGGTTTTCTTTTCCAAACTACAGGGTGCTAAATAATTTAAAAAAATTTAGTTTTTTAATATCATTTTCAATGCAAAAGTCTTTTCTCAATGCCCCTTTGACCATATTCGGTGGCTGACTCAAAGCTTACTTCATAATGTTTTTGTTACTTTTATTTTCCTATGTCAGCAGTGGGAAAAATGGTATTTACAAAAGTTTTATTTACGGAAAAATTACAAGAGCTACAAATAAAACGCAAGAGGGTAATTTTGTTTAAAATAAAAAGTGAATCATAAAAAAATATTAAAAAAATGTTTTTACCAGTGGCGTAGGACAATTTTCTTTGATGTTCGAAAGTTATTGGAGAAAAACTAAATTTTTTGAATCTTTTTAGCGCCTTGTAGCTTGGAAAAGAAAACCCGTAGAGCATAACTTCATATGAGAAAAAATTATTTTTTGAACCATAGAATCCACCGTTTAATTTATTCCCAACTTTTACGTTACACCCAGTATAAGGGATATGAGAAATTTTAAAAAATCATCAGCAGAAAAATTAATGAAATTCAATTTTTTTTTCAATTTACTTTAAAAAATATAAACCTTCTTTTCAGAGGGATAGATATACAGGGTGTTTATTAAGTACTTGCACATACTTTAAAGGGTGAATCTTTGACTAATTTTAAGATAAAAAGTTCATATGAACCTGGATTCGCAACTGCTTGGTTCTTGAAGTAGAGGGTCCAAAAAAACATTTTTTGTTGGTATTTTGATTATATTTTTGTTCAATAACATGGCAATTTGACGAAATTCAAGAAGCTGGGAGTATTGATGTTGAGAAACTCAAATATTTACATTAGTTTTTTTGTTTAATGTTAGAGGGTGCCACATAGTTTTGTACGTAGCTTTAAATAACCGTAACTCTTTTGTGTCACACTGTGCCATTTTTTGCCCATTCAATTTTACGTACAAAAGTACTCTCGGTATTTGTCACTGAAAGCAGCCGTTATGTAAAAAAAACGGGTTTAAAATTAAACCTGCGTTGGAATTTTGTAAGTTGAATTAAGAGTAAGTAAGCGAAAAAGAGTCATGTTACACTATCACTTTACAAATTACTATAACCAAATTAGTAATAATTGGAAAAAATAAAAATTCGCAAAAAGCGTTCTTTTTTTTTTGGACGATCTCAAGAACGAAGGTCCGTTGCGGACCCATGTTCATATGAACTTTTTATCTTAAAATTAGTCAAAGATTCACCCTTTAAAGTTTGTACAAGTACTTTATAAACGCCCTGTATTTTATTTTTAATAAAGTTATAACAATTTTTATTTCTTAATTGTCAATTTTAACGATTTAACAACACTAAAACAATATTTTTTATTACCACTGTCATGTCTAAGTTTTAACATTTTTGCAATAAATTGGTACGCTCCAGTTTAACTATATCTCAATTAACAAAAGCAATAACGGAAATTGTTGAGAAAAAACTGGATTATATTGCGATTCGAGAAGATATTCATTAGTTTAGTTAGCTCACCCTTATTTGTTTCGATTTCGATGAAAAAAAACCTATTCTCTCTTACACTCGGTATAGGTATGCTGAAAACCGAAATTTACTTTACCTTATGTTACTGGGGAATAAATGTATAATAAAAAAAGATTGTCAAAATCAGATTAGTTGATCGCAAGAAAATCAACTTGCACACTTCAAGTGGTATGTCGATCTGATGCGAAGAGTATTATGTTAATTTTGCAGGTTATGGAGCAACAAGTTAAAGACGGACTAACGAAAGCCATCGGCCTGTCGAATTTTAACGCTGCGCAAATAAACAAAATTTACGAAAATGCCGAAATTAAACCGGCTGTCCTACAAGTTGAACTACACGCGTACTTACAGCAGAAAGAATTAAGAGACACTTGCAAGAAATTAAATGTCGCGGTGACTGCGTACTCGCCTTTAGGGAGCCCCGGAGCGAACGTGCATTTCAACACAAAGTACAACTATTCGTAAGTATATTTTTTTTTATTTAGTAGAAAAACGTAGATTTTTACATTCCTTCTATGACATATCGCTCCCGTTGTACCCTCAGTGTGTCTTTTCATCAAACAAATTATGATTTTTGTACTTCCGTATGACCTACGAGGGCATACTTGAAAAATTTTGTGACCTCATAATCGGGCATTAAATTTGGCGCTTTATCGATTGCTGATTAAAAAATAGGGTGCTCCTTTTAATATTTTCAAGTTGACCTTGAAACTTAAGGGCAAGGTCAAATCCAATGTCGCCATCTATGTCATTCAAATTTCTTATTTTGCTATTAACATTTTCCTCCACAATTCAATCTTGTCAAGTTATTCGAAGAAAAATGAGTTTGACCTCAAAATAACCTACAAGGACATATAGGAAAAGTTTTTCAACCTCAAATTCGGACATAAAAATTGGTGTTTTATCGAATGTTAATTAAAAAATAAAGTGTTCCTTTTAATATTTTCAAGTTGATCAGTTTAACCTTGAAACTTAAGACCAATGTCAAACCCAAGATCACCCTCTGTCCTTCAAAATTCTTATTTTGCTGCCAATATTTTCCTCAATTCAATATTTTCAACTTATTTGGAAAAAAATTAATCTGACCTCAAAATACCTACAAGCACATATAGGAAAAGTTTTCGGACCTCAAATTCGGACATAAAAATTAGTGTTTTATCGAATGTTAATTAAAAAATTAAGTGTTCCTTTTAATATTTTCAAGTTGATCAGTTTAACCTTGAAACTTAAGACCAAGGTCAAACCCAAGATCACCGTCTGTCATTCAAAATTCTTATTTTGCTATTAACATTTTCCTCAATTCAATATTTTCAACTTATTCGGAGAAAAATGAGTTTGACCTCAAAGTATCCACAAGGACATATAGGAAAAGTTTTCCGACCTCAAATTCGGACATAAAAATTGGTGTTTTACCGATTATTAATTAAAAAAATTGTGTTCCTGTTAACATTTTCAAGTTGACCTTGAAACTTAAGGCCAAGGTCAAACCCAAGGTCAGCACCTGTCCTTCAAGATTCTTATTTTGCTGCCAACATTATCCTCAATTCAATCTTTTCAAGTTATTTGTTGAAAAATTAATTTGACCTCACAATGACCTACAAGGACATATAAGAATCGGATTCTGACCTCAAATTCAGACATAAAAATTGGTGTTTTATCGATTGTTATTTAAAAAGTAGTGTTCCTTTTAATATTTTCAAGTTGATCAGGTTAACCTTGAAACTTAAGGCCAAGGTCAAACCCAAGATCACATCTGTCATTCAAAATTCTTATTTTGCTATTAACATTATCCTCAATTCGATCTTTTCAAGTTATTCGTAGAAAAATTAATTTGACCTGCAAGGACATAAAGTTTTCCGACCTCAAACTCGGACATAAAAATTGGTGCTTTATCGATTGCTAATTAAAAATTAGAGTGTTCCTTTTAATATTTTCAAGTTAATCAGCTTGACCTTGAAGCTTAAGGGCAAGGTCAAATCCAAGGTCGCCAGTATATTAAGCATTCATACATTTCGTATTACAAAATTGTGTTAACGAGTAAATAAATTTCATGAATTTTACTTACCAATTCATACTTTCAGTCTGGACGATTTCCCGGATATACTGGGTCACCCCACAGTGACGGAACTGGCAGAAAAATATAAAAAATCACCAGGACAGGTCCTTTTGAGGCACCTTACACAGCAGGACGTCATAGTCATTCCAAAAAGCGGTAATCCCGACAGGATCAAAGCAAACATCGACATTTTCGACTTTGAACTGAACGACGAAGACATAGAAAAGCTCGACGTGTTGGACAGGGGCGAGAAAGGGCGGATATTTAATTTCCTTTTCTTCAAGGGGGTAGAAAAGCACCCGGAATACCCGTTTAAGGTGGACGCCCAGTGATCCCGTTAAAACGTTAATATTTCGTGCTTCGCTGGTACGGAGAAATAAACGCTTTGTCCGTGAAAGCTTGTATTTATAATAATAAAAAAAATGGTAATTAAAATAACTGTGTGTCTCTTAACTGATGCGGTACAGCATTTTCCTTTGGATCCTGTGCTGGAGTTGACCCCGTCGGATCATGGTCTGGATCACCTTCAAGACGGCCCGCTCGGGGTACTGCTGTTGGGTAAAATCTTGGATGATGTTCTGCTGGGAGACCTGCGTTCCGATGGCGAACCTCCTCTTCAGCTGTTTCTCTATGCGGGTGAGCATTTCGTGCTCTTCCTCCGTCGTGAATCCCTCTGCCCCTGCAAAGCAATCGAACGCTTATACGCGGAGCGAATCAAGTTTTCGAGGTCAACGGACGACTTTAAACGATTAAAAAAAAAACGTTTTCTCAAAATCTGTAAATATTGTATCGTAACGATCCAAGTCTGCTAACAAACTGTCCTTAAAGAACGCCCTGTATAGTGAACGTACCTGCGAGATTCCCGCTCATCGCGGCGTCCAGCGTGGACACTTGGAACAAACGCAGGGCCTCGTCGACGTGAGTCTCGGTCGCGAACGGCTGCAACTGCATCTTCGCCAGGCTCTCGGATATGCGGATGACAGCCTCCAGCTGTCGCACGGTGATGGGAATGGAGTTCTTCTTCTCTGCCTCTTTCTCGTGTTGGCTGGCCCCGCTCCTCATCAGAACGTATCGTCTTTTCAGTTTCTCGGCTGCTTCGGAGTTTAATCGCGGCCCGCATCTCCTAAACGGAAAAAAATGCTTATACGTTCGTTAAAATTGTCCAACGGACACTTACGTTCGGCAATAGTTGATGTATTTCTTAATGAATTCTAAGGATAATTCGCCCTCCGTCGGTTCTTGAGTGATTTGACCGGCGTTCATATGCACCCCCATGACGTGGCGTGCTAACGTCTAAAACAAAGATTTACGTCCGTTAATTTTCCAAACATCACCTTATTTCATTTAGAAAATGTATACTTCTTTGCATGTTTCTAAAAAGTACCGTTGCAAAGAAAAATAGATTTCTTTTTTTATTCAGTCGGACAAGTATGTATGTATGTCGGAGGGTGGTGGAATTGTTTTTCCACAACGGCACTTAGGCCTTGTTAGGCCCCTTGTACACCCTCCTTCATTACTCGAGTACTTTTCTTCAAACCATCCTATTTACTACACCGGTGGCTTGGTGGCAAAGTCTCGTACAGTTTATGTATGATAGCATGGTCATGAGTTACAGAGATTTTCTTTGCTCTATTCTCATTACCATTTATCGGGGACCACACGCATGCGGTAAATGTTGGGCGACCCAGGTCTCTGGTAGGCTGCCACAGCCATGTCCCCGAGCCTGCCTTAGCTCACCCATCCAAATTCCAGCCTGCGTCCATGATGCTTGCCTCGGCAGATCGAAATCCGCCGGCAAAGACACCCGGCTAGGCGGTCCCATAGTCGTACAAGTATTTGGAGTATACAATAAACACTCTTGGTAAATTTCTGAAAAAACTAAATATTTTTTATGATTTAAACTGACCTACAAATATAAATTGACAGGGCTATTTCAGTAGACGTTGACTTTTGAATGGGGGTAAATTCGCTTATATCATGAAAAATATTTTATTCAGTTGCAAAAGTTAAAAAATTTAATTACTGTCCGTTACGGCGATGGACATAATGGCTGTCTATAACAATAAAAAAATTTCAATATACAGGGTGGTCCAGATTTTAATAGACAAACTTCGGGAAAGTTTTAAATAACAAAAATTAACATCACTTTGTTCTATGAACATAGGCGCAGAAAGCTGCCGTTTATGAGATACAGGGCGTTGAAATTAACAAAAATATAATAATTTTTTTAAATATCGGGAAAACCGCATCATAATATGTCTCATAACTCACTTTTCGACAAAAATAAAATAATGTTTTTTCATCCAGAATATTTCAGACCATTATAAAATGTATTCATATTACCAATTAATTCAGTAGCGTAGAAGTTTTATTCTAAATAAGGAAACAACTTCATTGTTTCTCCACCACTGGTATTTGAATTTGGACTGTGTGCATACAGAACTAGGAGAAATATTCAAAAAAAAATGTGTACCAAATTTGGATAAATTTGATGAAGCGGTTTTCCAGATTTAAAAAAAAATGTTTTATTTTTGATCATTTCAACGCCCTGTATCTCATAAATGGGGGCCTCTGCGCCTATGTTCATAGAGCAAAGTGATGTTAATTTTTGTTGTTTAGTACTTTCCCGAAGTTCGTCTATTAAAATCTGGATCACCCTGTATTTTTCACTAGAATGATGCATTTCGGTGGCATGCAACAAATACAGCTTTTTTTCAAGTAAATAAAGTACCGTTTCAAAAAAGTCATTATGCACTAACCGGCTGCCAACAAAAAAAATGTGGGAAAATTCAAAACTTAAAAGCGTTCTTAGCGACCTTAAATTAAAAAATAAGCTCAAATTTCATCATCTTTAAAATTGATGAAGTTATCCTAAAAATTGTTTTTAAAAAAGAAATGAAAAAGAAAAAAAAACATTGGCACAAAACGTGTAAAACGTGATGCAGAAATAGCACCACGTGCACTTTCAGTGGTTGATTTTTTAACAAATAAGAAAATTGTCACCGAACCAGAGATTTTCAAATAAAATTAATGTAAAATAAGTACAAATCGCTCTCTGCAGGGGACCCTACAAAATCATCACAGACAGCGAAAAAATGGTGACATCGCTGTCATCAGTCGTCAGTTAACTTAGACAGTGACAGACACATACGAAATACAAATTGATTACCGACTTTCGAGCCGCGGTAAAACCGTAACTGGGACTATTATTTCAGTAACAAACCATCTTCGAAAGTTTTGTGATTTTTTTTTGTACAAAAAAAGCAACACGAAGTTCTACGCCTTCCTAGGAGTCTCATTAGGCCGCGGATTCGAAAAAATCGAGCAACAAACATCTAGTAGGAAACGGAGGCGTAGACATGGCGCCCAACGTGGGGCACGATATTACCATATACATCAATTTTGTAAGAATTCTAAGTTTTAAAAAACACTCTGTATATGACCAAAATATGTAGCTTGAAAGCGAAACTCCACACCCCAAAAATAATCAAATTCGAATAATACATTTTCGAGTTATTTACAAAATTCAAAAAATTTGCATGAACTTTGCGGCTATCTAGCGGCCAAACGAAACTATTTCGGATATAGGTGAATTAGCCTAAATCTCAATATTTTGAGTCCACGAATCTGTGGTCTTCCCTTGTACACATTATTCTGGGACACCCTGTATATGTAGTTGCTTATTACGTCTATCCGTTATAACAAACCAAAATAATATTGAAAATATAGTACACCTAAAACAATTAATTAGGAACGAAATAAATGAACTAATTCAGATTTAAGAGGATCTTTGGAGAAACTATTTCCGAGAAAAAAATTATCAAAATCTCCAACTTGACGTACAATAGTTCGATTAATTAAGGAATATTGACATAACTGTGTGCAAAGAATACCATAACATACAATTTTTATGACTTTTTTGAACTTCTTTACGCTTAATTCTAAAAAATAACTAGCATAATAAATTTAAAATTTGACAGTTTGTGTTGGTATCTGGAATTGGATTGTGTCGGAGTGTTTTATGCGTACCACTGTTTCCTTTTCTTGAGGTGTTTTCTAGCGTTAGTTCACGAAAATTGGATTCAAAGGTGTCGTGCGTGCATCGAAAGTGATGGTGGACATTTTGAGCATATGTTGTAGTTTGTTTTGCGTTTAAAAATGACTGAGTTTTGCTTTTTGGTAAGTCCCTAAATTATTTTTAATACGTATCATTATTTGGACGATGTGAATCTTTGGGTACTTTAATTAGATATTTTTCAAATTCATAATTTAATTAAAAGTTAAGTTCCTGTTTTAAGATATTCATAATTACTAAAATTCGAGCAAAATCTTAAGCATGACACTCTCTTCGTACTACAAAATCGATACATTTTATTTTTTTATTTAAAAACTGGAAAACAATTGTCTTGAAATTTACTAAATGTTTCACAAAAATAGTTGTTTACATTTTTTCCGTAAGACAAGTGTGTCGTGTAGTGATGAAACCCCAATATTAATACTCGCTGTATTTTGAAAACTGTTAATCCTATGCCCTTGTAACTTTCAAATACCTGTACAAAGAGTACAGAAAAAATCGTACAACTCACATTTTTTACAAAATTTTACAGCCCCAAATAAACAAGTTGAGGTGGGTGGGCATAATAGAAAATCACCCGGTACATAAACCGTGAAAAAAATAACACTGAAACTCACCATATCTCTTTGTTTGTCATGTTCATCCTTTACGATGAAGATCATATCAAAACGGGACAAAATTGTCGGCAAGAAGTCGATGTTCTCTTCACCCTGAAAATTAGAATTCGAAATACGTAAGCTAGATTTCACGAAAAAAAATTTTGAAATTTACCTCATAAATTCATGTTAAAATTATTAACTGTAGGAAAGCTTACCTTTGTCTCGTCCCACCGCCCAAAAATACTGTTGGCGGCGGCTAAAACGGAACATCGAGAATTTAACGTGGTGGTAATCCCGGCTTTAGCAATAGAAATCGTTTGCTGTTCCATGGCCTCGTGAATAGCGACTCTGTCGTCTTCTCTCATCTTGTCGAACTCGTCAATACAAACGACGCCCCCATCCGCCAACACCATAGCACCCCCTTCCAGAACAAAATTGCGCTAAAAACGTTAATTCCAATGATATCAACGTAAATCAGGCGCAAAGCGACAACTTACAGTGGCAGGATCCCTCATGACGGATGCCGTTAGCCCAGCAGCAGAGCTCCCCTTGCCCGAGGTGTACACCGCTATAGGAGAGACCCTTTCCACAAACTTTAACAGCTGCGACTTAGCGGTTCCGGGATCGCCCAACAACAGAATGTTAATATCTCCTCGTCTGGTCAACCCGTCTGGTAACTTTTTGCGGGAACCGCCGAAAAGTAGACAAGTGATGGCTTTTTTGATATCGGTAGCTCCGTAAATCGAAGGTGCTATACTCAAAGACAATTTCTCGTAAAGGTTAGGCATAGTGGCTATCCTGCGGAAGGCGCTCTCTTCCTCGGCTGTGATTATGCCGGTACCTGACGCTCCGACACCTTCACTGTCCAGTTGTATACCGAGGACTCTCATGTAAGCCGACCGAACGCCGGTTATTGCCTTTTCGCGACTCTCTCTCTAGAATAAGTGTCGTTTATAATAAAAAAAAAAAACTTTGATGAATTGTTAACCACTTTTATGGCTTATTGTAATGTTGGGTCTTCTACACTAAACCCTTAAAAACTTTGACCACACTTAAAAATGTTTGTAAAATAAAAATAAATTAAAAAAGCAAAATCTTACCCGAGACGGTTTGTTCATTTTTTTAATAGAATATATCCCCAGTACGAATACCCTGTTACCAGGCACAACTTTTTCGCACAAGTACCTGTCACAATACAAATGCATGTGTCTGGGAATCTCCCCTTGAGGTATACCATCCGGGAGTTCTTGAAGCTTTAACACTTGGAAATCTACGCAATGGCACTTGTCAGGCATTATAAAATAAGGATCCAAAGGACATTTAGGCCTGCCAGCCTGTTCACTACAATAAATAATGAAATATTGCATTTAAAATTCTATTTTCAATTGAAATAAGGCTAAGATGAAATGCAAATCTTAATATTTACATGAAAAACTTTAATAACTTACGTGTTACATTTTCTGGGCATCACGTACCCTTCCAAGCCTGGTTTAACGTGCAAATTGGGAATGACGTTACTACATGAGCGGCACTGAATTGCAATTTTGGTGGCTTTGGCTTTAATACCTGAAGCACTCACAATAATTCCAGGAATTTTTACAAGGCGAGAAACAACCTCCGACTATAAAGATAAAATAATTTTAATGCAAAACTTATTTTTTAACTTAACATTATACAAATCCTTACCTTTAATGCTCTTAGATCAGACGGAGTTGCATCAGACGATAGCATAATTTGGATATCTTCAACTTGCTCCTCATGCTGGGGTCGTGGCGCAGTTAACTCGTCAGCTACTTCTTTAGCAGCTTCTTCAAAGATTGGCAGGTGTTCGGAGGGTTGTTTATATATTTTATCGGCCAAATTTTCATCGAAACTTCCGACATCTTCAATATTAACATCCAAGTAGTACTGTCTCAGATTATAATTTCTTTTGAGGGTATCCCTAGAACAAGACGGAAGTCAAAAAAAGTTAAAAACTTTTTGTCATTAAGTATACCTGTATTTGTAATTAAAATTATCTGTGTGGTACTGACGTATAAACTCTTTAAACTTCTTTTTAATAGCTTGCAAGTTCACTTGTAAATCGGTTTGGTTGTCATCCACGGAGAAATTATCGCTAAAAAATACTCCTGGATTGTCGAAACCATCCATTTCAATTCAATCACAGTGGTCACGACAAATAAAGGATTATTAATGAAGAAAAAATTATCGGCACAAATATGAATTCCGTCTGAATGATTATAAGCGTTTTGGCGCGATTCTGATGAAAATTGACAGTGCACAACAGGCAGTCAAACTGTTAACAAAAATAGTGCCAACTTTATCATTATAATATCCCCAAAATATATCACGTTCAAATCTAAAGAGTACATTCAATTATTAACTTCTCTATTAATGCAGATAATTTTTTTTCGATTAAAAAAATTAAGTGACGTGATATTTGTGAAATAAATGGTTTGATTTTTTCAAAATTACTATACTTATGTTAATAAATCCAATATCAAATTAAGCAATCTTTCATACGGGAATAAGGGTAAATTAAATGATTATAATATTAGATTATTTTATATAAAAATTAATAAAGCAATATTTGTACAATGGTTTTTCTAAGCCAGATAGGTACTAAAGATATTGTAATTGTTTATATCTAAGTGTAAGTATCTGATTTGAACAAATAAAAATAAAATAATAATAAATAGGTAAATAATAAAAAGGTACCTACCTGTTTTCATATGTTGTGATCTAAGTGTAAGTATCTGATTTGAACAAATAAAAATAAAATAATAATAAATAGGTATATAATAAAAAGGTACCTACCTGTTTTCATATGTTGTGATACAAAACAAATTGTATAATTTTATGTAATCTGTAAATAATTAATAAATGAAAGAATATTTCCTAAACTCATATATATTTTTAAAGTTGCATCAGTTTCCATATAAGTACAATGTTTTAACCATTATAATAACGGGATTGTTACTAAATTATTTCTAGATTCTAAACACGTTTAAGAACAAATTCTATAACCCTGCTTTTAATTAATAGGTAGGTAATATTTTATCTTGCTTTTGGAGGAAGATAAGAAATTTGTAATGCATTTAATAATAATTTTCTAAATGCCTACAAATATTTAAATAATAGATAGGTATAAACTGAGTTTAGGTAGGATATTAATATTATCAATAGGTAAACATTGAATTAAAAATTTTAAATAGTGCCCAAAATAATGATTTTCGAAAAGTTCGTCAACTCAGAGACAAGTCTAAACTCGCAGGAATTCCCTTCCCAACTTGTTTGCTTGTTGACTCATCCGCCATCCAATCGGCGAACTGGGTTTGAGTTGCAAAATGTTTTCCTTCTCTTGCATCTTCGCTAACTGTCTTGTTCTTGTGGCGGACTAGTTGAAACTTCTCACATCCTGAAAATGTGGTCCTCAAGTTAGTGGCAGACAGGCAGAAGTTTTGAAAAGACAAGAATTAACAAGAAAATTAATAAAATGGAATCCCTACCAGTCCAATTCAAGAACACCCCGACGTTTTTACATTTAGTCTGTTTATTGTTATCAGTTTATAAACAATGTCTAAAAGAAAAATGTGTCCTGTTAAAGTGTGTGCAAGTAGTCTAGTGCATAACAGGGAAATCGAACTGTCCGTTTCTGTTTGCAAATTAAAGAAAATTATGGTTAAAATGAGGAAGCTGTAAGTACCTTTATTTAAATTTGATAATTAAAAAAAATGTTCTTTACTTATGAACTTTTCATACTTTTTTTATGCCCCATTTAACCTTGTCGCCAGAATGCGTCATTATGGAAACTATTTTTATTTCCAGTTTTTTATGCATGCGAAAATGTGAAAATTATTAAGTCTTCAAAGTTTTTTATGCATATTTTAAGATATATACCTAATATTATGCAAGAATTTTCAGTAAATGTAGGTACTTTTAGGCGAGGGAAAAATAATGCTTATAATTTCTAGTTTTTGAATATCACTTATTAATATTTTCTCCTATATACAGTGTGTTCCGTTTTATAAAGGCCTTGTAGGTGTACAACTAGTAGAGAAGCCATTAGTAAATTAAAAAATTAATGAAGCAATTCAAATTGGTACCTATTTTTTATACCCCAAAACGTCAATCAATTTTTAATACACCAATTTTCCTAAAATCGTATTTTTAAATCCTAAATTTGAAAACGCTATGCTTGGCTTACTCCAATGAACCACAAATTTCTATGACGCTTTTTTAAAAAACCACAAAATCTTGTATTTATTATTTTGCTAAGTATATTTTTCCTTAAATTTCATTTACTGATAAGTAAACTGCTTGAAAATTATAAAGCCCTAAAAGACATGAATGGTTATTACTAATTAGAAAAAAAAAAAACGCACAATATCGATCATTAAAAAATTTTACAAAAAATGCTCTTGTTGTTATCTTGACCAATTCTGAGAAAAAAAACGTACCTAAATTTCTTAAAATAGAATAAAAGACCGCAAGTATTTGATATTTTGGGATATCCCTTAAAATTGTTAAAATTTACCTATTTTTGCAGCTATTTCTATTGCTTTTTTTGCTATTTATATCTAAATGAAATTGGATTTGAAAATTGTATTACAGTACAACTATGTAAGCACGCAAATCTTCAAAAATCGCTATAGGTACATGTACAAAAATTGAAAAATTTCAAAATTATAATAAACATTACCGGAATTGAAACGAAAAACGTGATCGCAAAATATTGTAAAACTTTAAGTACCATGAATTTTATTACCGAAAACAACGGTTCGTGTTGTTCATTTGACACTATCTAGATGACACTTTTCGAAGATTCTTTAATTAATGACAAATAAAGAGCTATTCTCGGAGTTATGATTAATTTTGTAGTTAATAAGAGTCAGTTTTACCAATAATAAGCGTGTATCAGGTTTGAAAAAAATTGCTTAATGTAAAAATAATAATAATTTTGAGATTATAACTCCGTTAATAATGAGTTTTCAAAACAGTTTCACAAGAATTGTTCCAGTGAGTAGAATCTTCAACAATTTTTACTCCACTTTCGGACAACCTGTATTTGTATACTATTATTATACTTACGATTTGAACACCAACAGCAATTTCAAAGTTGCTGCACTTATGTTTCTAATATACATGCACTTGATGAATGTACAATTATTATGCAGTTGGTACCTTTTCCGAAAAACACCTTATCAAGTTGGTAAGGTGTTTTTCGGAAAAGGTAGATTTTTTTATTAAAGTCTGGCCAAGAGACAATTATAAATCGCTCATGGTGCTAAAATTGTGAAAATATAAATTATGAGCAGATAATTTTTCTATACCATGTATGAATGTATGATGTATATATGTATACATATTGTACAATCAGGACTGCTGGCTAATTATTTTTTTATTTAAGGCATTACCAATGCTTTCTAGAATTATAAACTGAAATAGGTATATTTTGTTCCAAATTTGACACCAAAAAAAAATAATAACTAGGTTTTGATAACCGAAAATAAATTAAAATGTTATGTGGTGTAATAAGATATTTTAAGTTCTATCTTCCAAAAAAAAACGAATTAAATCGCTCAATAAATAAATTTTTCATGAGCGTTTGAAAGGGTTTACACTGTATATCTTTTATTTACATTTTATTCTTCGATTTTGCTAAATAATCGTTTATTGTGATACAACTTTTGATTTTAGTCATCGGCATTTCGTTCGAAATTTAAAAAGTGTGCGCTTTTAAAAAATATACCGGTTGGTTCACACTTCACAGTGATTGTCTTATTAGATTATTTCAGAACCTACTTCGATTTTAATTTTTTAAATTGGCACACTAGAGTTTTTGGATGTGCTCTTTTCAAATATAATAATTTTGTTCCTGTAACACTCCCGGTGATACCGGAAGTTGACCTCAACTTTGTTATTTTAAATGGGACACTATATATTATTGCATTTTCGGATTCTATGTGAAATTTGAGGGTCACTTTATTAAGTATTCCCTATATCTACGAATTATAGATTTTGAGATATTAATATTTAAAGAAAAAATTTGACAAATGCAAAGGTCTGGGAATATGCTATAGTAACTCTTTTCAGGAGCGTGATATCAAGTGGATTTTTGATAGGTAAATACCTGTAAAGGGCATAGGTAACATTAAATCGAGGTATCTATACCAAGAAATTAAAACATTTAACACTAGGTGCTTCAGTTTTGCTGTTACATTTTGATATCTTCAAACAGTTATAACTTTGTTGAGCCAAATGGAACACCCTGTATTTTTTTACTCTATGGAATGCAGACCTTTCAAGCCATATAAGCTATGTTTGGGTTGCTGTTACTATTTTTGGAGATATTTGCAATTTTCTATTTTTTTGGATAGTTTTTCTTGTATCAGACCTGTTGTCAAATTGGCCATGATCAGATATACACCAAAAACAATTGAAATAACTTGACATTTGTCAAGTTAGTTGTCAAATTATTGTTGTGTCTATAGTTTTTGCCGAAAATTTAAATGAAAATGCCTGAAGATCGTTTAAATTATAAGTAATTCAGTTCTCTAATATTTGCTTTATTTAGCTGATAACAAAAGCTAAGCGTAATAATTTGTCTGGCCCTAACAATGAAAATATTCACAACAATAAAATACGTTTTAAAGAGACAAACAAAGTATCATAACAACATTAAATAACTTAACAATTCTTTCTCCACATGAATTAACTAAATTTTTTTAAAGCATTTTTAAACTTTTTTTACTTTTCTGGGTCTTTTCTTCTTCTTCGCCTAGTAATTACGTTGCTTGTTTACCTAATTTTATTTTCCAAATCCTCTAATACCGTTTTTCTTAGTACAGGTAATTAATGCTGTATATACAGGGTGTTCAAAAAGTTTGGAACCTCCCCTTCTATCTCAGAAGAAACTGCTCAAACAAAAAATGATTAGGCCAAAAGTTGCAGGGTTTTGAGTGAGCAATCCAGCGATGACCTTGACCATGACCTTCAAGGTCATTTAGAGGTCAACCTGAAAATTTTAAATGGAGCCGTATATTTTTGCCCCCGGAAATGAGCAAAATGGAAAATCTTCCCTAAATATTTGATTCAAAAAATTTTCAAATTGACCTGTAAACGATCTCCAAGTTATAGTCAAGGTCACCATTTGATTGCTCACTTTTAACCCTAACAGCTCGGTAATTTTTCCACTGATGAGAACCTTCGGAGACAGGCTGTTGGAAATACTGTGACCTTGAAATTACCATGACCTCAAGGTCATGGTCAAGGTCTCATCCGAACGTAAAATTTTTCGCTCTTGTCGTTTCCGGATTCAAAAGTATACGGTTCCATTTAAAATTTTCAAGTTGATCTCTAAATGACCTTGAAGGTCATGGTCAAGGTCATATCCGAACGTATACATTTCCATTTTTTCCATTTCCAGGGTCTAAAATATACGGTTCCATTTAAAATTTTCAGGTTGACCTCTAAATTACCTTGAAGGTCATAGTCAAGGTCACATTCGACCGTAAAATTTTCCGCTCTTACCATTACCGGGGTCAAAAGCATACGGTTCTATTTAAAATTTTCAATTTGACCTCTAAATGACCTTCAAGGTCATGGTCAAGGTCACCGTTGGATTGCTCACTCAAAACCCTGCAATGGTCAAGGTGACATTCGACCGTAAAATTTCCGCTCTTACCATTTCCGGCTCAAAAGTGTACGGTTCCATTTAAAATTTTCAACTTGACCTCTACATGACCTTCAGGATCATAGTCAAGGTCACCGATGGATTGCTCACTCAAAACCCAGCAACTTTTGTCCCAATTATTTTTTTGTTTGAGCAGTATTTCCTGAGATAGATGGGGGTTCCAAACTTTTTGAACGCCCTGTAGTATATGTGTTACTGCAGTGAAATTAAAATTGATCAGCTGTATTACATTTAAAATTACTGCAATCTCAAACTTCGACGCCAATCAAACGTGTAAATCATAGCGTAAAGAAATATTGCGCTGCGTGTGCGACACGCTCTACGTGCTAGCAGTGGCTAAGAAATTTGTCCTCTGCTCCACAGATGTCGCGGAGCTTATGTACCGAAATTACCTCGAAGTCATCACCCACGAATCGACAGGCGCCAGCGCCATTGTTGCCGAGAGAACCTGCTGTTTTAATTGCAATTACCTCGTAGTGTTGGAATACGTTTTTGTAGCAGCCTTTACTCCTTAATCTTTTCGAATTTGTTCTGAGACAGTGCGTTTGGGTATTAGTCACACTAGGTTGACGTTAATTTTGTGTTAATTTTCCAGCGTATTGTGCTTGTGCCAGTGTTAATCTTTATAATGTCTTTTGGTAAACAAGTTTTCGTACTCTTTGATAGTAAGCCTTCTGTTAAAAAAAATTAGTGATATTTTCAGTGTTTTTAAATACTATTCAAACTGTTTAAAACGGCTGCAGATATGGTTAAGAGGTTAGTATGCTTACAATTTGATTTATCTTGTTCCAACGTTTCAAATATGTTTGTAATCTAATCACTGTCATTAATAATTGTTATTGATACATACCTAGCTGTAACGTATTTTATAAATATCGTTCTTAAATGTTATTGTTTTAAATTATGTTTAAATGAGAAATTAAAACACTGATAAGTTAACAACAACTCAAAATTATGTTACAAGGGTTAATATTTAATTTTAAACTGACATACGTTCATAAAATAATAGAATTCATTTGTTTTTGAGTGGGTACGGGCATTAGAAAACTTTATTTTATTTGTTTACATGCTTTCTGCGATCTCTTGTTTAATTTGAAGAAATTTATACATTCGTAACGTTAAAAGAGAGATAGGCTCTCTTTTTTTTGGATTGAATTGCTGTATACATACCATATTAAATGAAATGGATTAAAAATACTATTAATTACTGTACTTAATCATAACAAACATTTAACAAAGAATAACAGAATAACACCATTTTTCTTTGTTATTACTCCTTTGTATGCCTATATTTTGTCAGAATCAGAACATAGTTGGAAATAATAACCAGTAGGACAATTGTTTTAACTACTAAATTGAATAATAATAAGACGAAGTAAATGAATAACGAATTGGAATAACAAATCTACATTAAATGATCAATTGTAACAATGTATACACTTAACGTATGGTTCATATTTAATGTAGAAAAATTAATCGCGTATATGATTTAGAACCAAACCTATTCATTTTTGCGGTATGAAATGTTTGTGGGAAGCAATAATATTGAAAAGATCAATAAATCAATTTGAAATATTGTCTATTGATGTGTACAGTTCCTTTTTTTTCCAAACTTCGTCCGTTTTTCACAACCTTCCTTTTTCGAGAGTTACTTGTAACAGAACTAGAACAAATTTGGAATATTTCTTGTCTTCAAATTCCAATTGTAATAAAAATTATAGTTACATTTTTTGCGTAAACTATTTTTCCTTCACGATATATGAGTATGGACATGGATGAAAGCAAAGTCACCAGCCCTGTTTTTGACTCGAATGTCCAAGTTCCGGTCTTTACTCATTACCCGTAAACGAACTATGGCGTGTCTGACATGAATTTAAATAGATAACTAAAGTTGGCAGGTCATTTAAAATTTCGTAATTTGTGCCAGTGGAGGAATGTCATAATGTGGCCTTAACTAGCCACCTTTAAAAAAATTGTTATGGAAATACAAGGGGAAATTTCGTAACCCTAAGTTGACACGCTATCTAGAAAAGAAAAAACCAGTAATGATTCTTAGAACACAAATATTTGATGTGGAAAAACCGTATTCAAGTGGTGGAGTGATGTTTATATTGTTCACACACAGGGTGTCCAATGTTTTGTGTACCACACAGTTGCCTGCGTTCAAAATAAACAGATTTAACTAAAACTATATTTATCCTAAGAGAAATTTTTGCGAAAAACTGTTTTGTTAATAATAATTCGTGAAAATAATGCCAACTGTAACCATGGCGATATTGAGTTCTTATAAGAGTCTATTACAAGTTTCTATAGATTAAAATTCGTTTTTCCTATTTCTATCAAATAAATTACTTTTCATCACATAATTATTTCAGGTTTAAATCGAAAATGCATTATGTCATAAAGTGACATCTATGTAAGTGTCACCCTACCAAATTTCAATAAAATCTTACAAAGTTATTTCAAAAAAACATTTTTTTTGCAATTTAATGCCATCTAGCGGCTAAATGAAGCAACTTAGAAGAGGTAAGTTTAGTTAAATCGGCGATTTTGATCACGGAGACTGTGGTACAGCTCAACGTACAAAAAACATTGGGACACCCCGTATATTTGATCATCCTTATCCTTATCTTCCTTTTTGAGATACACATTTATAACTACCAGGAAATTGTTTAAAAAAATTACGAATTAGCGTTGTGTCATGTGGGGTGTCACCGTGAAAATATGTAGTATGTACGCATTTCCTTTTATAACCGTTTAAGTATTAAGGTGTAAGGACTCATACATTTTCCAAGAACTTAAACTGTCCATTTTGATGAATTTTATCCGGGAATTGTCACGAAGCTAATGTTTTAAGTCGGAGCTTTGAGATTTGAATTATCTGGGACTCGCACGATTAAAAATATTTCACATTCGTTAAATAGTTTTATCGTTTTAACAAATCGTTTTTTTAGTTCTGGGTATCATATTATATCCGTTTCATTGTAAAAATGATAATTTTTGTGCTGAATAATAATAGGACGTAACCTCGATGTTGAGATAAACTGACAGGACTGTTCTTATCACAGTAAACGAGATTAAATCGTCAAGAACCATTAAAAAATCAGTGTGTATGGTATTTCGTGTTAACACCCTCTTAAATACAAGTAGGCTGCTGGGTATGGCCTTGAAAGGTCATCATTTGGTAACTATTGGCTGGTTTCACATTGCTACGAACTCATGGCCTACTATAATTTTTTATATGTTCGCAAAAACGCGTTAGGAATTTTTTATTCAGGGAAACAAAAACTCTAGTTAAAGAATCCTAAATTTGTAGGTGGTTTTCAAAATGGCGGAAAATGCTCTTAGAGCAATAAAAAAAAGTAATTGAAGCTTGAAGTTTGTAGTTTCTGAATCTGAAACTATCGGTTTTATGGACGAAAATTTTTTTTCGAAATCATCTCTTTCAAAAGGTTCGCGGGCTTCAATAATTTGTTTTGGTAATCCCACCTGTCACCTCTTTTAGTTTGATTCATCCTTTTTAATTTGAGTTGTTCAAGAGCTTTGCTCTTGAAACAGCAACATTTCCTTTTTGGCTTTGATAGTTAATTATTCAGGAATTAATGATCCCACAGAAAATCTAAGCAGAGCTGATTTCATTTGACCTATGCCTATTTATTCAGTATTACTGTGGTTTTCGTAGTGCTCTTATTACTGTGGTTTATTGTTTATTCAGTCTTACAAATGTTTAAAATGGGAATTTGAAAATCTGCATGCTATTCAATGGGGCCATTTCCAGCAGCGTTCTTTTAAAGTTTGGACAGGATCGACATTCGACAGTGGACTAATTGTACCGATTCCATGATTTTCATTCACATACAATTTTAGCTTATAATTTGCATTGGTTTTGTTACGATGAAATCTATATATTGTAGTCTTAGAATTAAACCACTTTTGACAGTTTTTAGTAGTGCCATCTATACTACAGGGTGAAACAAGTACAGAATTGCAGAATTCTATTTAATGAAAATTGCTACATTTTCCAGGATTCTGTTGAATAAGTACGCCATCTATTATTTCGTGAAATTCCAATGAAACGTTAAAAACAAAAGAGTAATTTGCTACTTATTTACTTTCTTTTATAAATATTTTATATCGAATTTCATCCATATACTCGTACATACAAAGTCATTTTCGAGATGCCCTTTTTACTTCTTTTTTTACACTACTATGATATTTCTATTGATCCATTGTACATGCCATAATATTTTCCGAATAAGTTGTAACTCGCCCCTTTTATTTTATTGGTTTGTTTCTAACCTTTATATAACACCAATAAATCGATATTGCTGGATATCTACAAGCATGAAGCCATACTTGTTAGCATGTACACTATGTATGTGTCTCCGCATCTTTCTTTTTTTAGATGTTCTAAATTTGTTCCCCGAAATTCTGTTAGGGATTCACAGCATTAATTTCATATATAAACTCATGTAAATCTAGACGCAAGAGGTTGATGATTTGATGAAAATTTTCCAAGCAGAGTTCATGTAATAATGAAAATGTAATAATTATTTACGTACCAAGATTTGAAAGTGGTATTTCACAGTACGGTGAACAATTTGACACAATTTGACGGTATAGTCTTTCCGAAGTCAGTTGAGCATGTATTAAAACGCCTAGCAATAAGATTTAATGAATTTCATAGGCGTCCCTAGAAAAGTTTTCTGCTAAAGATAAAAAATAATAATAATTTGTATATAATGTGTAGAAAATTTCTATTATATGTTCATTTGGCCAACAACATATTTTAATTATTTATGCCCTCAAACAATTTTATTATGTTGATGGTTATTTTTGGTTATGACATCAAAAAACATTTACATTTTCATTAAAATATATTACTGCTCGGCAAGAACCAACGAGAAGGTATGAACGTATCCTTGCCAGGAAAGGTTGCTGGTTTAGGTTAGAAAAGTTATTAAATAAAAATAATCAACAATAAAATAAAGTAAAATAAATATATGAAAATTTGCACTGCACTGCTAAGTAATATGTCAATAACTGAAATTTATGGCCGGTCGCCCAGTACGGCTGTGCTTGTGCGCCGTTTGCCCGCACGCGCATTCAGGTTTTTCAAATATTTCAACGCCGAGTTGCTGCGTAACGACCGAACCTGGTACATACTGCCTAGCTAATTGGTCTTCAAATGAGGTAGGAAATACTATAATAGAACTACAACAGAATAGTTATTGGTTATAAATTTATATCAAATATATAACTTATTTATTTTGAAAGCGCAGTTGTCCGGTCAATTTAGGAATCATAATATTTGTATTGTGTTATCAATAATATTGGATTCTGTTGGGTAGGGTAATTTGAGACATATAACTATTTTGCAAGGAACATTTCCATGAATAATCTGCGATGTGTGATATTTTTTGGCTGTAGGGCTACATAATTCTAAATTTGTCGACACGAAAAATGTTCTCTGTGTATTTTTTCTTGTATTGGGAATTTATTATTATCATACCATACCTTTCTTACCTTATATGTTTAGTTATGGTCTATTAAAAACTCTGGACTTCTCTGCTTTATATCCCACAGATTTTTTCTTTAGAAAAGGTATTAATTTTGGAAATTTGCTAATGTCAATGTTCTTTTCGGGTATTAACCATAGACCTTACAAATTGCCAAAGTGTGCTCTGTCAATACAAGCCGTTGCTGTACAAACGTGTGCGAGGGAGATAGAGCTACTGCGGGCAAAAATCAAGGAA